TGCCCTGAACAGTGGCAAACAGGAGCAATCCATGAACCAAGGTAATTAGGAGGAGACTAAAGTGACATGCAAATGAAGGCCCAGTTCTGTGAGTATCCAAAATTACTTGCAGCCTTAGCAGGCAATGCAGCACTGAGCAACCAAGAGCTAGGTTGTCAGAGCTGTTTATAGCAACTCAGCCTTCTCTGGCTTTAAAGAACTGGGATGTCCTATACCTGTGCTCTGGACAGACTGCTGTTACGTGATGCATACTATTGACATGCAACCTCCAGGCAGGAATATATTTGAAGGGCAAACCTGGAAGAGGAGAAGAGGGTGGTATCTTTTAGGTGACCAACAGAGGAATGGCAAGGTATAGAGTTTGCTATTCCAGATGGCAGGAACAGTAAAGAAGAAAGCTCCTGCACCCTTGCTGGAGAAATACTGCACAAGGAGTAGGGGTTGCATTCTGAGGAGGGGATATGGTGGTCTTGATAGAACTGTAATGGTGTGTGTCATCTAGTACTGAACTAAATGGATGATATTGAGCCAGCTTGTGGTGTTTCTGGATGAAAATTTTCTTCTCTTACAATAATAGAGAAACTCCTGCTGGTTTCAAGAACAAGATCCCTGACCAAGCCATAGCTTGGAGTTAGGACTCAACAGCTGAACATCTCCTCAGTATCCTGTGGGTCTGAGTGAGTTGCTCTGTGGCTGAGCTGCTGTCCAGTCAGGGCCAAGACTGCTGACCTGAACTGTTGTTTTTTTTTTTTTCTTAATTCATTTCCTTTCTCAGTGAACTCCTATGGTCAGCCCCAGCCTCCCCATCTCTTCTCCGGGCCATCTCCTATGTACCAGATTTCTACCCAGGACTCTCCGGGATATAATCGCCCAGGTAAGGGCATTAAGGCATATTAATGAACATTAAAGAACTGATTTCCAACCCCTTTGTGCATTTCTCCCAAAGCACTTAGTAATCAAATGGAGCACTGTGGGTAGAGAGGGAGCATGGGCTGCAAGGGATCCTCCATTTAGGGCTCTAAATACTCTAGGATACTCTGGGAACGTTTAGGATTTCAAAGGCCTGATTTCTTTCACTTCACATAAACAGTCTTCTAGCTTAGCCTCACCCTCAGTTAAGTTGTTTGAAGACAGCTGTACGTGAGAAGCTTCTGTTGATGAAGTCATTTGTGCTCTATCAGCAGTCAGCTATGAGGTAAGTAAAGGAGGCTGAAACTTCTGTAGAAGCTATTGTGGGGAATTTCACAGTCAAACATTCCCAGACATTGGTAGATGCTGACAGAGATTAATGTCAGTAGTGTTCTTGCTTGTTAGACTGTTGGAAAGGAGAAGGCCCAAATTTGATTTATTTTGCCCAAGGGCCCGCTGTGAAAAAGCATGTATTTTTAGAATCTAACTCTTCTCTTTCCTTTTTCTTGTTTTTTCTTGTTTTTGGCTCAGCTCATCATCTGGTCCCTCGACCTCCAGGGCCTCCTCCAGGTGCCAATGAGGAAATCCCCGATGATTTCGACTGGGACTTAATCACCTAGCGAGTTACAGACTTGATAGCCCGTCCTTTATGAAGGACGTGGGAGGGGGAGGGGGACATGGGGTCAATGGTGTCAGGCACCACCCTCCCCAGCCTCCCTGTATATAGATATATATTCTCTATCTCCGCCAGAGAAGCCACCGCAAGATGCTGCCGAAGATAATCCTTCCTTGCGTCCTGTTTTATCTTTTCTTCTTTTGTTTATTATTATTATTGTTATTATTATTATTATTACCAATAATTGAGCACAGCCCTGCCCCTCCTCCGGTGGCCTCAGACGCATCGGATCGGCTCTTTCGTGTTGTGCAGTGCCCTGTGGAGGGCGGGAAGATGGGTCCTTGGTGCCATGAAAAGACCTTGGAAGGCTGAATCCTCGAGTGCATCTTTCTCTGCCTCCGTTATTTTGCGTTTAACAATCCCTCTTTCCCTTCAAGGTGGCCGGTGAATCTGTCGTATTGGCTACTGGAGTGAGAGAGCCTAGTGGACCCTGGGAGCCTGTAGTTATGTTGTTTCGTAAATGTTGTAAAGGTCAGGGGGCTGAAGGGACACTGGAGGGGTGATCTTAGCTCTGTGAACTTTGTTGCACCAGCAGGAACGGCAAAAAAAGAAGTGGTGTTCCCAAGTACAAAGAGATGGTAATCCCTGAGGTAGGGAGAGCTGAGCTGAGCTGGGCGGGCAGACCTGAGTTTGGAGAAAGGAGAACGTAGCAGAGATGGTATTTCAGCAGAGAAGTATGGTTTCAGAATGTAGTGCCATCTGTGAAGACTGGGAGATTCCGAGGGAATCCTGACCCATTTCCTACACTGCCTTTTGCAGTCTCTAGGTGAAGCCTACATACCCATTAGGTAAAATGCAGTCAGGGGTGTCAAGTGTGATTCAGCAAATTCTGTTCCCCAGAGCTTTTCATTTCACCCCACACCCCTTCAAGCCCTTTTTCAAAATATGTAGTGAGGCTCTCCCTTTTATATGCAAATTTGAAAGTTTTCTCCCATCAGTATTTGTCCAATTGTTATTTGGTGCTCCACCCCTCACATTTCTTTGGGGGCTGTCCTTGCCCATGGTTGAGAGTGCCAGCAACAGGAGTCTGGCTTTGTTAGGTGCACATCCTCAATCAGCGGTTCCCACTTGATGAATGGGCTCGTGGTGGGCAGATGAAGCTGCTGTGCAGAGTGGGGCTGAACTGGGGGGCTGCTGGTCAAGGGCTGAACCTTCTGGTCAGGGAACGAGAGGCCCTTGGAAGTAGTTTTTGTAAGAGGGGCATTAGGGGAGAGAGGGTGAAGCAGGGCAGAGTTTTGAACCGACCAGCCGGAGAGTGTAGTATGAAAAGGAGGAGGGTGTCTCAGACCCCTTGCAGTTCAGCTGGGGAAATGATGTAACCTAGTGTAAATCCTGAAGGATGAGCTTTGTCAGCACGTGCAAATCAGGGAGGTGGAAGAGGTGCAGGAACGGGAGTGAGCATTGAGATGCTTCCTCCCCAGAGTTGTGTCCTGTGTTCCCCTTCATTTCTCACAGGGCTCCGTTCTGTCAAACCTCTTGTTTCTTCTTAATATTTTGTAAAGCCTCCCCCCAGCCCTTATTCCCTATTTACCAGTGAGGGGAACAAATGTGGAATTAGACTATCATGGCTGCTTGACAGACCTGGAGCACAGGAGTAAAGTAATAACGTGTATTCTGACTGCAGGAAGGTGGAGAACTAGCACTGCTTTTTAAATTTGCTGTAGGGATAAACCAATTGGAAATTGGATTGTTGTCAGGGAAGCGGACAGAGTCTCATTGCATTGGAAGGGGAGAACAGCACTTTTTTTCTTTTTTTTTCCCTTTTTAAAATTTTTTTTTTGTTTGGTTTTGTTTTTGGTTTTTTTTTTTGTTTTAAGTGTGTGTTTTGGGGGGGTGTTCGTCATTGAGCATTTCCAAGAGAAATGAGGAATCCCAGACAGCTTCAACATGGAGTCAGCTGCTATCTCTGCTGCCTCAGGATGGGAATGATACAGCTTTGGAAGCATGCGTGATAGGTTTCTGTGGAAAGTGGCACCGGAGACAACAATGAGAGACAACTTATGGCAGGTGCCAGTTAGTGTTTTGCAATGGACATTACTGAGAGCTGGCCCTGTGGAAGTCTGAAAACACCACCGGAAGAAAAACAAACCAAGATGGCTCCTTCTGCGTATCCAAGTGCTCCTCATTTGCATATTTGCCTCATTTGCATATTAAGTTGTGCCTCATTTGCATATGTAAATACATGCCGGTCAGTGTGCAAATTAGCCTCGTTCCTCTGCCCCTGAAATCAATGTGTGTTGTTAGTGTGGTAAGACATCAGTGGGTGGGTGTGGAGCTCTGCGGGTGCACCGGCCTGCAGGCAGGGCAGGGGGGCCAGCCTGGCCCACAGAGGGGTCTTGCAGGCCCCTCCAGCCCGCCCCCAGTGCTTTGTGTCAGTGGTCAGGGAGAGAGGGGCGTGGTCTCACGAGTTTATTTTTGTGCATGCTTTCTTAATAAAAAGAAAAAGTGAATGTTTATGGTTTAACTGTTTTGGTGCCAGTATTGATTCTTTTCTTTCAGCGGCGCCTGTCAAGATGGCTTGGTTCGCGCCTTAGAATTTAGGTGTGGACGTGGCTAAATGGACAGCCCACACCTGGATGTTCTTTAGATGGAGATTTTTTAGGATTTTAAGAGCTGAAGGTTCTCCTAGGTGGCTGTTCTCAGGACAGTGAGATCTGAGTCTTTCAATTCATGCTCACCAGAAAGGCAGAGTGAAAACTCTACCAATGCTTAGTGTCTGTTTGTCTTAATATTTGCTGGCCTTTCTCTTTTAAGGAAGAGCACTAAAAGCAGATTTTAAAATGTTTCTTTAATTACGTAGGAGTGGGGAACATTCAACCTTGGGAACACCCCAAATAGCCTGATTGCAGTAAACTTTTTCTCCACTGGAAGGACATAAGAAGCACATCTCTTGTAAAGAGAGCTCGACGTGACTGAGCCACAACATGGTTTTTCCCTACCTTTTTAGGGTCAGATTGGAGGTTTTCACTTCTCAGTTCCAGGGTTTTGCCAAATGGCTGATAGTCCAGCAGTCACCTAATCTGGGTCATCAGTGACTGCATGCTGAAATTCTGCCATGTCAAAATACAGTAGGTACATTTGGATAATCTCAAAATGCTTCCTAAAAGGAAGATTTGGGACTCTGGTTGTGGAGGGAGTGTTCAGGAGACAATGAGTATGCACATGCTAATGAACACAGGTTCAGCATTTGCATTGACCAGTTACTACCATACAGTAGGACAAAGAAATAGATCATCCACCAGGGCAAAGAAATCAGTTCAGTGCAGCTGGCTGGGGCAAGTGCTGTTCTAGTACATGGCTGTAAGGAAATATAGCAGTACCCTCTAGGGAATCTCCAGATACTCCTACACACACCTCAGAGCCCTGGTAGAGTCAGAGGAAAACTGTGATGACCTTCTGAGGACCAATATCCAGGTTAGTTTAAACTGCACTTTTATCAGAGACAGGAGATGTAGAACACAGACATATGCAAATAAAATAACATTCTTATATCTCAGTTGAGAGGTTCAACTTCATGATTCCCACCACAAGTCTGTAGCCATCCCCAGTTTCTTAAAATAGTCTGTGTAGGTTGAAATACTGTGTCTTCTGCTTCACTAGTCATCCCTCAGATTATTACTCTGTAACAATTGCTCTGTGCTTCCAACTTCCCATGTCTCTAATGTAGGATATAAAGAGGGTTATCTGTTATGAGCTGAATGCTTGCAGTGTCCTGGGTTGGAGCAGCAGATTAATCAAACATATTGGATTAAAAACACCTGCTAAAGCAGAGAATAATTGATTTGCAGTGCTATAGCTTGTTCTTTCTACAGTCATGATAGTCCTGCATTACAAGGTGCTGCTCAGGTTCTTGTCTGCTGAAGTCTGGCTTCTGTGAAAGGCTAAAGATGTGAGTTCCTCACTAAAGGCACCTTCCAAGATTCTTTGCAATGACTGCCGTACCTTTGCCCTGAAGTCCCGTCCCACAAAAACATAAAGCAAGGGGTTGATGCAGCTGTTGGCATAGGCAAGTGCTGTAGAGAGGTGATCCCACAGAATCAGTGACTCCATCAGTCTTGTTCGAAGACTAGGTACAAGGGAGAGCATCCCAACTACATGGTACGGAGCCCAGCAGATGAAGAATGCAGCTACCACAAACACAGTTGTTCGCAGGATCCTGTTATGTGAGTTGTGAAACTGATTTGCATGTGTTCTGAAAACAATGAGGGCGTAGCAAACTGCCATTATGCCAAAGGGGAGCACAAAGCCAAAGACAGCCCTAGTGATGTTTATTACCACTGAGGCAAGGGGTACAGAATCATTACCTTCATTGGTATCTCCCCACAAGTCACTATGATTGTAGATTGAGTATTCTTCCAATAACTCATTTATAGATACATTTACAGGATCATCTATGTAATCATCAACTCCAGAATTGTACCCACACTCTGTTTTGCCCTCATAAGTGGTTGTCTCACGGTAGTAGAAGACAGGGCAGCAGAAAATGAAGGCCAGCATCCAAATGCCACTGCATATTAGTGATATAAATTTCACTGTTCGGTGGTTCTGACACCAGACAGGTTTCATCACCAGAAGGCACCGATCAATGCTGATGGCCACAAGTAGGAAGACACTAGCAAACATGGTGAAGATTATGACTGATGGAATGACTTTGCAGAGGAACCAGCCATAGGGCCAGTGTTCATGAAGGGCCAGGTGAACAATGAAAAATGGCAAGGACAAGCAGCACATGACATCAGCCACAGCAAGGTTTAGGAACCAGACAGTGTTCACAGACCTTTTCATTTTCACACCAGCTACCCAGATCACCAACCCATTGCCTGGGATACCTATGATGAAAATTATGGTGAAGATTGCAATGCAGACAATTGATTCTGATGCATAATATACAGCAGCCTGTTCTTCTGAAGTGCTGTTGTCCAGAACTTGAGCCATTCTGCAGCTGTAAAACAGAAAGCAAATTAGTAGCAATTCACATCCTTGGTTCTCGTTAGCCACGCAAGCACAGGGTGGGGCTTTCCTCTGGCGTGCAGTGGGTGATTAAAATAAGGCTCTAGAGAGTGCGGCGAGCAGGAGCGGGGAAATGAGGACGTGACACGGCAGGGCAAGCAGGCAGTGGTGCAGGTTTGCTCCTGCTAGTGGGGTTTTTCGTTTGTTGTTTGTTCTGTTTTGGTTGGTTGGTTTGGTTTTTGTGGAGTGTTTGAGTCTTACCAGTGGCTGCAGGGGCCATTGCAGAAGAAGCCTGCCTGCGGTGTGAACAGGTGAACAATCTCCTTTCACTTGTGGCCGAGCTTAGGGTGGAAGTAGAAAGGCTAAGGAGTATTAGGGAAAGTGAAAGTGAAATAGATTGGTGGAGTTCTGCCCTTCCAGCCTTGACGAAGGTCCACCGGGAGCCAGAAGACTCCTATGCCTCCCACTGTCAGACAATAGGAGGATGAAGGGGAGTGGAAATGGGTCCCTACTCAGAGAGATAATAATAAAGATTCCTCCTGACTCCCATCCCCTAGCCAGGTGCCACTTCAGGATAGGTGTGAGGCCCTGGCTCTAGAGGGTCAGCCAGAGGATATAAAAGAAAATTATCTGCCTAGTGAGCCTCCTAATTATGCTTCATCTGTCAGAGGGATCACCACCTCTAACATTAAAAAGAAAAAAAAGGTAGTCGTAGTGGGTGACTCCCTTCTGAGGGGAACAGAGAGCCCCATATGCCAACCAGACCCATCCCACAAAGAGATCTGCTGCCTCCATGGGGCCTGGGTATGGGATATCACTGTGAGACTCCCAGCTGATTTGACCCTCTCATTATTACCCACTGCTGGAAATGGTATAACACTCCAAGCTGGCAGTGGTGAGATTAAAAAGAGGAGTGTTAGGACAATTAAAAGGGGCTTCAGGGTACAGGGTCAAGTGGGTCATAGGGCAGGAGAACAGGTCCCTTTGGTGGCGGAGAAAAATTATGAAAAGGAGAGCCCACATTATCAATAAGTGGTTTAAGGGTTGGTACCATCAGCAGAACTTTTGAGTTCCTTGATCATAGGGCATCTTTTTTGGCACCTGGCCTGCTGGAATGGGATGGGCTCTGATAAGGCAGAAGGATTTTAGCCCATCAACTGGCAGACCTCATTGAGAGGGCTTTATACTAGGTCTGAAGGGGGAAGGGGATACAGCTGGGCTGTCTGGAAGCAGGCCCAAGGGTGGTAAGCCTGAGATAGAGGTGAAATCAGTAGCCCAGCTGAGGTGCATGTATACCAATGCACACAGCATGGGTAACAAACAAGAGCTGGAGGCCATGGTGCAACAGCAAAGTTATGATGTAATTGCTATCACAGAAACATGGTGGGATGACTCACATGGCTGGAGCACTGCACTGCATGGCTACAAGCTCTTCAGAGTGATAGGAAAAGAGGTGGAGGGATGGCCCTTTATATTAGGGAGGATTTTGATGCTGTGGGTATTGAAACTAATGACCACAAAGTTGAATGCCTGCGGGTAAGAATTAGGGGGAAGGCCAACAATTGTGCTGGGGGTCTGTTATCATCCTCCCAGTCAGGAAGAAGAAGTTGACAGCTTATTCTATAAGTGGCTGGAGAATGTTTCAGGATCACCAGCCCTTGTTCTTGTAAGTGACTTCAACCTACCAGACATCTGCTGGAAGCTTAATACAGCAAAAAAGAGGCAGTCTAGGAAGTTCTTAGAGTGTGTGGAGGACAACTTTTTGTCACAGCTGATGAGTGAGCCCACCAGGGGAGGGACTATGTTAGACCTGCTGTTTGCAAATAGAGATGGGCTGGTGGGAGATGTGGTGGTTGGAGGCCGCCTGGGGCAGAGTGATCATGAAATTAGAGAGTTCTCAATATTTGGTGAAATGAGGAGGAACATCAATAAGACTCTTACACTGGACTTCTGGAGGGCAGACTTTGGTCTATTTAGGAGACTTATTAAGAGAGTTCCTTGAGAAGCAGCCCTTAAAAACAAAGGAGTCCAGCAAAGTACTGCAAAACAGAGATCTTGAGGGCACAAGAACAGACATCTTTTTGTCCCTGTGTGGCGAAAGATGAGTCAATTAGGCAAATGTACAGCCCGGATGGGCAACGAGGTTTTAAAGGAACTTAGGAATAAAAAGGAAGGTCATTCTTCCCCTGTACTTAGCACTAGTGAGGCTACACCTTAAGTGCTGTGTCCAGTTCTGGCCCCTCAGTTTGGGAAGGATGTTGAGACTCTTGAGCGTGTCCAGAGGAAAGCAATGGGTCTGGTGAGGGGCCTGGAACACAAGTCCTACAAGGAACAACTGGGGGAGCTGGGGCTGTTTAGCCTGGAGAAAAGGAGACTCAGGGGTGACCTTATCACTCTCTACAACTGCCTGAAAGGTGGTTGTATTCAGGTGGAGGTCGCTCTCTTTCTCCAGGCAGCAACTGACAGAACAAGAGGACACAGGCTTAAGCTGCACCAAGGGAAACATAGGCTGGATATTAGGAATAGTTTTTTTAAAGAAAGAGTGAAAAAGTACTAGAATGGTCTACCCAGGGAGGTGGTGAAGTCACCACCCATGGATGTGTTCAAAAAAAGACTGGATTTAGCACTCGGTGCCATGGTTTAGTTGAGGTGTTAGGGCATGGGTTGGACTCAGTCTTGAAGGTCTCTTCCAACCTAGTAATTCTGTGATCCTCTTCCCCAAATTCTTCTCTTAACCTTTGCTGAAGCATCTCTGAGTCAGGTGACAGTACAGAGCTGTCAGGATACAAAGGCATTGGCCTACACAAAATTGTTACTAGTGTACCTGTTGTACATCTTCATCATTTTCATAGTGGCTAAACCTGTATGTAAGCTTGCTGTTCAAACAGTGGGCTCTATGCAGTTATGTTCTCCTATCTGTGTCATCCCTTTGATTTCCATCTGGTTCTTCTTAGTCTCTAAAGTGAAGGTCTCTATTCACATGGCCATGATGTGCCCAGGTGTGTTTCCTGGTTGACTTCCTGCTTCAGAAAGGCAAACCAGCATTTTTAGTTCCTCTTTCCTTTAAAATTAGCAATTTCTTCTGGCATAACATTTAAGTTAAGAAAGCAATGCCTGTCTTTCTGAAATCACCCTGCTTCACTTTCTGAACATTACAAATAGAACAGAGAGGACATAACTTCTGTTGGCTAAGTGATATTTTAGGGAAGTGCCAGTGACCACTTCCTTTTCTTATACATGTGTTCTGAGCTCTCTGGTAGTTCCTTGGAAAGCTTATCTTGACCAGGAAAAAGACAATCTTAACGGTTTAAGATTCTATGAAAGATAAGAAATTAATGTTTAAGAAGAACAGACAGATATTTACTTGTAGAAATAAACATGAAAATACAGAGTAATGTTAGATATGAGGTGTCTTACTGCAAGACAATGAAGCTGACCTACAGCATACTTAAGTGATATTTTAAAACTATGACCACACAGAGGAAGAATGTTAATTGCTCAGTTATTCTTGGACTTAGTAAATTTAGAAAGGAAAAGAAAACCAGCAAAGCTAAGATAGAATTGAGAAAAAAAAACCCTGATTTTTATTCTTTAGGCATTAATAGAATTGTCTTAAAAATTCTTTTTAACTAAACCCTTGCTGAATTGATGACGGCAGTTGTATTACTGAAAGGTCCCAAAAAATGTTACCAAAATGCAAGGAAACTGAATAGGGAAGAGGTGAATACAGCCTGCAGAAGCAACTGAGAAGACATAAATAAGACAACTGACCCATTTTTAAGCTCTGTTATGCCCGTACTTAAATACCAGTCAGAGATTGTTGTATGCAGGACTAAATATAAATATTATTTTAAAAAATTCAAATAATCAATCTCACTCTTCAATAACATGCAGTCCGAAAGTGGAGTGATGCATAAGTGTGCATCACTGCTTCACTAAGAATAAAATGAGATAAACAAATGTAACAAACATCATAATTTATCAGGTTTTGGTAATGTCTGCCAAGAGACTTGTGAGTGAGGGTGACCTGCAAGGAAAGCTATGACAGACGTTACTGGAAAGCTTAATTGAAAGCTGGAGGCTTAATTTAAAATTCTCCCAAGTTTGTTCCATTTCCTGTGGTCTTGCTGATCTATGTAGAAGCAATTTTCAGAAGGACAACTGGCGAACAGTGCTGCAAGAGTTGAACCCTGCTGCCTCCCCATATAACTACAAAAAATGGTATGAAGAGGACAGGGAAACAAGAAATGCTGTAAAATAGTAATGTAAGTCCTACTCCAAAGTAAACTGCCCACACTATATTTTCCAGAGTGCTAAAAGGGCTGCAATATGGTTTGAAAATGAAAGGGACAACTGGAGGAAGGAGAGGGGTTTTCAGGAGTAAAGAATAATAAATGGCAAGTAGATGAGGAAAGCAAAATTCTCCAGTTTATGATACCTACCTGAGCGAAGCAGTGATTTCAGTGTGTTGGAGCAACTACCATCAATTCTGTCTCTGGAGTGACTGCGAAAACCCTCACATGACATTTTAGGAACTGCATTTTTTTTTCCTGTATGCATCCTGTGTTTGCCAAGTGTGTTCTTTCACCCTAATAAAATTACTCATTTCAATGTAATTTCAAGATTTAGATATGATCAGCTCATAAAATAAAAAGTCAAATCACAGGAATTTTCTCAAAACTCAAAATAAAATAGTTCTTGAAATAAAATATTAATAGAGTTATAATCACAGACATATACTTTACTATATTCTATAAGACAACTGAATGCCATCTTGCCTGTTGACACAGTGTGACCTTTGCTGGAAGTAATTCCTAAGTCCAAACCCTGTCATGTCATAGCCACTTCTATGTCTTACCAGGTGAGCATATTCACCTAGCTAATCTAATTTCTAGGGTTCTTACCAATCCAGATCAGCTTCTGTCCCAGCTTGAGACAGTTTGCTTCATCAAATACAGAACACTGTACTCACCAAACCGTTCTGCTTTTTACTTTTCAGGGTTTTAAAATTCTTGCTTTTAAAAAAGAAATTGACTGACAAAAAGTTAGAAGTGGTTAACTGAAATGGGCGATTTGCACAAAATGTGGCAAGACAATAAAAATGGAAGATTTCCAGGGCAAGGCATTTCTAATGTTTAACAAGGGGGTTCCCTCTTGCCCTTCACAATTTGGGAAATCAAGACTGCTAGCAGAAATGACAGAGCCCAGACATACAAGAATCAGCCTCAGTATTTTTGTTTTGGTCTGGAAAATGAACTGTGACAGAGCAGACTTCTTCTCTTGAGCGTGTCTGTTAAAGACACAGATGCTGCCTCCAACACAAAACCAGAAAAAGGAAGACAGACCAGGGCTGAGCTGTACCCACAAAGATAGACAGGCTGTCAGCAGCCTGCCAGGAAAATTCCTGTAGCTTCATCTTCTTCACAGCTGCTATCCTGCTAGGGGGACTCCTCGAGCCCAGACAGGCAGTGCTGATAGAAGCATAGCCTGGTCATCACCATGGGACCTGCTAGTCAAGCCCTGCTTTGCAGGAGGGTCCTTAACCAGTTCTATCATCCAAGTTAAATGTTCTATTTCAAGATTTCAACCTCTCTGCTGAATCCTTAAAAAGAAACAAACAAACAAACAAAAAGGTAAATAATATAAATAAAAATTTAAACTTCATTGGTTATTGGCAGTGCTTTGTATATTTTTGATCCAGAGATGCTTGTTTGAACCAAGCTGAAGAATGTTATGTTCTCTACTGCTTAAGTCTCAATGGAATTGAATGGGAGATACATTCCTGGTGTTCTGGTGGTGCTTGTGAGTCTTTGCTCACATGCCTTATAATAGTTGGCCCTTTGCCACTCCCTCATCCGAGATGCTCTCCTTCTAGGGGGACCGTAGGAGGACTGTGACACGCTGAATGACAGCACTGTGAAGAGGGAGGTGAAATTTAATACTGCTAATTGTGAATCACTGAACTTGGAAAAGCAGCTGCACATGGAGGATGTACTCCCAGTGAGACATTAGTGCTCAATGAAAAAACTTAGCAGTCACTGCAGGAGGTTCTAATGAAAAATTAGGTCAATAAGCAACTCTATCCAAAAGGTAAATTTAAGTTTCTTCTTGAATTGTGAATGCTGTACTGGTCCTTAATCTTAAGAAGTTATAGAACAAGAAAAAACATAGAGAATGGTGGCTAGACAGCCATGGCTGGGAATTAACTCTG